TTTCTATTTTTTATTTTGATATGATTTTATTTCATTTTTCTGTTCAGTCTCTTTAAGGAGTGTCCCCATCCCGATGAAAAGCAAAGACTAGAGCTCAGCAAAAGGCTTAGCTTGGATGCTAGACAAGTCAAGTTTTGGTTTCAGAATAGAAGAACTCAGATGAAGGTACAAAAAGTCTGGAAATATTAATTTGATTTCTTGATTTTCCCTTACCTTTTTCGGTATATGTCTTTCTGTCTTATTGATTTAGAAATTTTGAGTTCTTGGTTGCACCAGACACAACTGGAACGCCATGAGAATTCGATACTTAGGCTAGAAAATGATAAGCTTCGAGTTGAAAATATGTCAATTAGAGAGGCAACGAGGAATCCCATTTGCACAAACTGTGGTGGTCCTGCGATAATTGGCGAAATATCCCTAGAGGAACAGCACCTTAGAATACAGAATGCCAGGCTAAAGGATGAATTAGATCGTGTTTGCACGCTTGCAGGCAAGTTTTTAGGCCACCCAATTTCATCTACTGCGATTTCCATGGGGCCGCCATTGCCAAACTCGAGTTTGGAACTTGGAGTAGGTAACGATGGGTTTGGAGGTGTAGCGACCATTCCAGAAACTTTGCATATGGGGCCTCCTGATTTTGGGATTGGGATATCGAGTCCTTTGCCTGTAGTGCCTCCGACCGAGGTAACGATGAATGTAATACCGATTGACAGATCATTAGAGAGGTCTATGTATTCGGAGCTTGCTTTGGCTGCAATGGATGAATTGGTAAAAATGGCCCAGAACGGTGAACCCCTTTGGCTCAGAAGCTTGGAAGCTGGAAGAGAAATTTTGAACTATGAGGAATATGGGAGAATATTTACTCCTGTTATTGGAGTGAAACCCAATGGTTTTGTAACGGAGGCCTCTCGAGCAACTGGTATGGGAATCATCAACAGTTTGGCTCTTGTTGAGACATTAATGGTCTCGGTGAGAATTCAACTTGTAATATATATTCGATCCTCCTAGTTTTTCGATTAATCCACGATAAGATGATTAACGCTGCATTGTGTTTACAGAATAAATGGGCGGAAATGTTCCCATGTATGATTGCCAGAACCTCTACTACAGACGTGATTTCAAATGGTATACGAGGAACAAGAAATGGTGCACTTCAATTGGTAATAATCTGAGTCTTCCTTCACGTCTGCAATGAATTATGTGTCATTTGATTAAATTATTAATCTCGTATCCACATATGTATATATTTATTAGATGCATGCTGAACTCCAAGTTTTGTCCCCACTGGTTCCGGTTCGCGACGTAAATTTCCTCCGATTCTGCAAGCAGCATGCCGAGGGCCTGTGGGCCGTCGTCGATGTGTCTATTGATACTATCAGGGAGACTTCCACATTGCCAAACTGCAGGAGGCTTCCCTCCGGTTGTGTAGTGGAAGATATGCCTAATGGCTATTCCAAGGTATAAATTCTTCCTTCC